TATTCAACTCCCCATTGTATGTATTCTACCTGTGGTATTATTTGTTTAACTATTTCATTCCATAATTTACACACTAACCTAATATTCATTAGAGACATTAATTGTATAATTTCTTCCATATATCCATCTTTTTCAGTCACATAATTTTTAATTCTTCCAATTATCATAACAGATAATTCTATTATTCCAAATACTTTATGTTGTTCAATTGGTATTAAAGTCTTTGTTGACCTTAAGATCATTCTTTCTATAAGCTTCTATTTCTACAATAATATCTTCAAATGTGTCGTCGGGTGTTTCAATATCTCTATATACTTTGTAACTTTCTGTTTCAGTTACTTTAAATACTCATTCTTCTAGAATCTTTATTAATTGTTCTGCCAGTTCTTCTTTAATTAATTCTCTTGTTCCGTAACTATCAGTAACAATACTATATCCCGGTGTAATCACCTTTCTAATTCTTACTTGGTAAGATGATGGCTCGAATAATTCCTTAAAATGTATCTTTAAATTCCTGTCTTCATATGATCCTTCAGGTATGAAGTATATGAATCCGTCACAAGTTTCTGCCAATTGATATGTACAGAAATAATTTTCTTCTATTGTTAAATCTTGACAGATTTGTTGCAATGTCAAGGTTTCTTTTAAATCAATTTTCTTTCTTGCAAATTCTCCTGTGAATGGATCTTTTAAGATTATCCAATGTTCGTTAATTCCTTCTTGATACCAATAAATATATTCTACAAGATATGAGCTTGTCATTCTTCTTTTGGGTTTAACAAATGTTCAATTGTTAACTTAGGATTCTTAAATACTTTCGGGAATTTCTTCCTTAATTCCCTAAATTTCTTCTTTTCAATTGGATACTTCTTTATTAATTGTACTTTTTTTCCTTCTATTATTCTTTCCTCAGCTTTAAATAATGATCTTGTTTTATTTATTACTTCTTTCGAAATTATCTTTTCGTTGTATAAATAATATGTCTTATGTGATGATTCCCCTTGATACTTTTCTATTTCTTGTGATCTCAAAGAGTATCCTTCTTCTTCCGAATCTGAACTTTCAACAATTATTCATTCTTTTCTTTGTGGTTCTCCAATAACAATATCAAATACTTGAAGTTTTGATTTTCTTGTTATTTTCATTTGTCAGATTTCTGATTTTATCGATTATTCGATGTTAATTCATTGTCTACCTTATCGTTCTTTTATAACTTCTAATCACATGTCAATCTTTTTCAATCATCCAATCATTTTTTATTTCTTTATTTATTATTTGTTTATTTTGTCTTGCATAAATTTTTCATATATTTTTATATATTTTCATATAATTTCATATATTTCTAAATTTCTGTGATTCGATAGATTATTGTTATAAACTTTACGAATTACCCTTTTTCTTTCTTAAAAAATGTCTGAAATAATTATCCCATTTACTTTATTAATTGTCATATTTTCACTTTTTCGACTCTTAATCATTAGTCGAAACTCTAGGGCTATTTCAAACAATAGTTCTTCCGATTTTCAAATTTACTTTGCTTCCGGATACCACGAAGGTTTTTCATATCTTCTTTTAATTGATGATGAATTTAAACTTAACTTTTCAGTATCTTTTGGTCGTAATCCATCAGTACCTTGGTTCCTTTATTTGGTTATTTCTTATCAATCAGAGGATCATTTGGATTTAAATATCAGTGCCACGGTTCCCCTTTTTTATTTTGTTTCTTTTGATTTTAATGGTAATACTTTAAAGATTTGTAAAGTGCAATCCCATCATTTTGATGGTGCTTTAACAGTTCGTGATTTTTTCAATGTTTTATGTATATCATATAACCATGAATCATTTATGTTTAAATAAATAAATTATACTTTATTATGCATTTACTCTATAATAATGTAGTATATAATTTACAGTATATTCAGACCTGTTACTAATACCAATTTTCTTCGTTTTTCTATTGCTTTCCTTCTTAAATCTTCTTCTTTTTGTGTTTCTTCTTTTATCTCTTGATTCAGTCATTGTAATTCTTTCATGTATTTATTTCCCTCATATCATTGTATTTTTGATCGTAATCTGGCCTTTTCTGATGTGGTCAATCCAAAAACCTCCATTTATTTAATGTGCAATTCAATTTCATGATTTTCTTCTTCCTTTGATCTTTTAGTTGTTTGTATCATCCATATTTCCGAATAAGTTTTTTAATTGTTCGATTTTAGAGTCTTGGTCACGCTTCTGTCGAATTCGCTGGAATTGTAAAACAATTGTTAAGATTGCTGCTACTAATACTGCGAATACGATCAGTATGATTGTTTCTGATGTTGTGGTCAAGAATATGCCGTCTTCTGGTATATTGGTTACAGTAGTTAAAACTGATGCTGTTGTTGATATATCTGCTGTTGTGGTGATTATTTGTGTACTTGATGTTGTGGTTATGAAGAATGTAATGATCCTGGTTATAGTGAATATCGATTCTACGATCACACTCATCTATGGTAATATCTTCCCAATCTTTCTTCCAATTGTCTTTGTCCAATGGTTGCTAGTCTTTCTTGTTCCTTTCTTCTAAAGCAGCAGTATGTGAAAGCTGCAAAAAGTATAATTATAAGTGTCACAGATATCGCGATGACTGCAACAAATTGGGTATTAGGTGGATTACTTTCTTCACTGTCAACAGCGGTAGTGTTATTCATAGGATATTTTGACTTCTTCCAGATATGATGGGTGGTGTATTCTTTGATATTTCAATTCTTTCTTGAGTAATATTATCGATATTATTGAAGATACATAGCAAGTTATCGAAATAATCACTGTCCTCAAGATGATGTTTGCTGTTACCGCCAATATGACTTCTTTGTTAGTATCCCTGTTATGAGTATGGTGGTGGTGCAGATGCATAAGTATCAATAGATCCCCTTTGGTCTGTCCCTATTATTCTAATATTTCTGTTAGGATGTATCCTAGTAGGTACCTGGTTTATTCTTTGGATTAAACTTTTAATTCGTTTTTGTTATATGATAAAAGTGGTACCCCAAAATACGACGAATGCTAAAATGGTTGAAAGAATGTTAAGTATGTCCCTCAATTGACTTACTTCTCCTGCAGTGGTTGTTATGGTGGTAGTTGCTTGGACAGTGGTGGTTGAAATAATTGTACTTATGGCAAGGTCGGTAATTTTCTCAGTAACTTTCTTTGTTATTGTAGGTATGATGAATGTTGCCATAGGAGTGATTCCCTACTCACTGAAGTTTTCCTAATATTAGTCGGGTACCTTTTATAACTATTCCCATGTCCTTGTTATCAGATGTTCATTGTCCCTTTCAGCTGCAATTATTATAGATTTTCCTGGTGTTTTCCTCTTTTTGTTCTGAATGTTCTCACGTACATTTAATTTTTACAATTACTCGTTCCATTTTTCTTTATTTGTCTTGTTATCTCCTATTTCGTGATTTTGTTTATCCGTTATCTCCTTTTTGTTCAGGCTTGTCGATCTTTTCCCAATATCGGCTTAATGCGTCTGCAACTGTGTTCTCTTTTTCTTTTATGTGTCGAATGATTAATCCGTAATCCACAATTTTCTCATACATCACTAAAGTTCTTTTTTCTATTGGTATTTTTCGTGTTATATTATTTAGTATTGCTACAACACTGCTGTTATCACAATACACAATGACCATTCCTGGTTGATATATTCGTAAGTATTCTTGATTTTCCTCTATCGTTCGTTGTATGGCGTATATTTCCTTTTTGGATGTACTCCACCCCTTTTCATTATTAGTGAAGCTTTTTCCATAGTATGATATAATGCTGTGATCTTGCTTTATCACTGCACCTATTCCATAATCACTTGCATCAGTATAGATTTCTACCGGTTTTTCCCAGTTTGGATTCACTAATGTTGATTCGTCAATTAATATTTTCTTTATTGTATTGAATGCTGCTATTGCTTCAAGATCATTCACATCTTTTTTAGCTTTACCTTTTAATCCTTTTTATTTGTTTAATGTCTTTTCTATAGTATCTTTTAATGGTTCAAGTATATGTGCCCTTGCTGGTATAATCTTACTAACATATACTAATATTCCTAAGAATTTTTCCATTTTTTGTCCATACATCCAATTTTTAATCTCTTTTATTCTATTTTCTTGTATTTTTCTTTTTCCTTTTGATACTCTCTATCCTAAAAATTCTAATTCTTCCTTTTCAAATTCACACTTTGATAACTTCAATTTCAATCCAGCCTCTCCTAATAATTTTATTACCTTTTCTGTTTTCATAACTAGATCTTCTCTTATGTGTGCTCCTATAAGGATATCATCGATGTAAACAATTGCCCATCCTTGTAATATTTGTTCATTAATAATATGTTGGACACATTTTTGATAGAATGCTGGTGCATTTTTCAATCCCAAGATCATTCTTGTTGGTTGATATGATCCCATTCCTCGTACTCCATATGCTATATAATGTCTATATCTTTTAGGGATTTCTATATGATTGTATCCTGACAAACAATCCAATACTGTAAATACTGCAAATTTCATCATTGTTAATAGTATCAATTCTACTTCCGGATAATAAGTATGTTCTGCTACTGTTGCTTTATTTAACATTCTAAAGTCTTGGACTATTCTCCATTCTCTTTTTCCTGTTATTTTGTCTTCCTTTTTTAATACTCCAGAACATGCTGCCTACCATTCTGAATTTTCTGCTGATTCTATAATACCTTGTTTTAGTAATTCTTTAGTTTGTTTCTGGATTTCTTCTACAATTTCTGGTGATTTTTGGAATGGTTGTATATAGTATGGTTGTGCTCCTTCTTTTAATTTGATAGTAAAATATATATTTTTAATTGTTCCTATTTCACTAACTACCTGTCCAAAGAAATGTCTGTTTTTTATAATGATTTTTTTATATGGTTCACTGATTCCCAATGAGTCTATGATATTAGATAGTTCTTCAATTGTTTTTTCTCTTAATGGTTCTTTTGGTCATTTATTTCCAATTTTTTCTTTTATTTTATCTAAGTGGGTGCTTATCATGTTATGAATTTCTTTTATGACATCATTCTTTTCATTTAATTTTTTGATTTCATAGTTCTATTCAATTTATTTGCTTCATTATTTAATTCATTCCATTTTCGATATTCTTGTTCTAATTCCCATTCTTTTTGTATTTCTTGATTGTATATTGATTCTTCTAATGATTGCATTATATTAATATTCCCTCTTGTTGATCGTTGTATTATATCTCTATTTAATTTAATTATTATACTTTTCCCTATTTCCTGATATTCTTCACATATTCCCATAGGACTATCTGTTTTAGTGAATCTAATCTTAGTTCCTTTTAGTACCAGTCCTTCAAAGGCTACAAAGTTTATCTTTTTGTATCTTCTAATCTTTCTGTTGATATCTTTTATTCTTATTAGATATATTTTAATTACTTCTTCATCATAACTTACCTTTCCAACATATATCTTTTTTACTAACTCAGTTTTATATTCTGTTGCCAATATTTCCTGAATTGCTTGTTTATCTCTTTGTCTTTCTTCTAATGTTATCCAACTTGTCACTATTCTATTCATTTCTGAATCTTTAGTTATCCAAATCCCATTTTGATCATATACTATACTCACAATTATTACTCTTGGTTCTATTTTTTCTTTTATTTCTTTATAATCAAATTGTGATATTTCCCTTTTTTGTTTTTGTATTGTTTGTTCTATCCATGTTGGATCCTGATATTCTTCATGAGTTTCTGATTTTATTGGTTTTTGTAGTATGGGTTCTTCATAAGTGATTTCCTTTACATTTTTTCCATACTGTTGTTTCAAATCTTTTGCTGCTTCAATATCAGCAGTACTTTCAGATTCTGAAATAATTTTGTCTAAATAATTATTAACTTGTTCTGTTCCTGGTGAATAATGATTCCATAATTGTTTCTTTATCCTATTAAATGCTTTTTTATAATCCTTTTTGAATTGTTCTTTTTCAGCATATTCTTCTGCTTTTTTATTTATCCCCATCTGGTCTTGTTCATCATCATATTCTATATAATTATTCTTGTTCCACCAATCTTTTATGGTTCCTAAAAATTAACTTCTTTCTCTATTAATGATTTAATAAATTTTATTTCTTGTTCATTACCTTCTTTAGGTCCTTCTAATATTATATCTATATCTGTTTTAACTATTTCTATTATTATTGCTTGTGGTAATCTTTGTTCTGGTACAAAGATGTTTTCATGTTTATCGATCCCACATCCCACTGTGTGAGTTTGTTTTATTCCATTTAAATGAATTAATTCTATTTTATTTGAGTATTTTTTAATTTCTGTTATTATTCTATTGACATTGTTTCCTACTGCATGATAGTGTTGTGTATCTAAACATATTTTCATATGTCTTCCAGCATTTTTACACCAATCATAAATTTCATTAATTTTGGTTCCAAAATGTTTGGTTCCTGGTCTGCCATCTGCTGAATTTTCTATAAGTATTTTTATCTTTTCTTCTTGTTTGTTAAATTTATATCCTGCTAAACATTTAAAGTTTCTGTTGAATCCTTCTATTGTTTGACAATTTGGTACTTGATGTGTACTTCTTGGTTCACAATGTATTATTACTCCTTCAGCTCCTATCTTAATTGCATCCTCTATTTCTTCTTTTATTTTATCAAAATTTCCCATATTATGTAAGCTAGAAATATTCAAATGTGTAGAAATGTGTACATATAATTTTCTTTTAGATTT